CAGCCATGGGCTGCCCGAGCTGCGCTCCGACGCTGCTGCTCCTGCTGCTCTCGTGCCCTTGTGCCGCCTCGCCGGGCTCCAGCGCCGGGAACGTCCCCGACGGCGCCTCCACCCTCGCCTTCGTCTTCGACGTGACCGGCTCCATGTACGACGACCTGGTGCAGGTCATCGAGGGCGCGTCGAAGATTCTGGATACCTCCCTGAGGAGACCCAAGCGGCCGCTCCACAACTTCGCGCTGGTGCCCTTCCACGACCCGGGTAAGGCACGGAGCCTCTCTCCAGCGTGACCGAGGGCCCTGAGCTGCTCAAAAAGCACCAAGAGGAGATTTTTTTCCTCTCAAGGTTGTTTGTAGGAAGGGTTCAGTTCCCTGCAGTCCCGGGGAGTTGAGGTATAAACGTTTTTGTGCCATGTCTTGTTCATGCTTTCCACGGGGCATCTCTTCTCTGTGGTAGCTTGATGGCAGCTCTATGCTTCTGCCTTTTCTGCCTTTCAGCAGCAGAACTTTTAAAAAATCAGATAAGCTGAGGTAACTTTTCTTTAAAATACTCCATCAATACCACCTAGTAGTTTTGGGGGGCTTTAAATAGCTCTGAAAAAGTAAGTTGCCTCTATGATTTTTCTGCTGTGGAGGACACATGTACTAGAAATTAGTGGGTTTTTTTTGTTGTTTTTTTTTTCTTTGTTTTTCTTTTCTTTTTTTTTTTTTAAAAAAAACATGTTCTTCTATGGAAGCAATTTAACTTACACAATATCATCACACTTTTGCCTGAGTTTTGTTGTTGACTGTTTAAGCTTTTCATACTTTTTTTTTTCTTTTTTAAGTTTGGGTTCTTCCTCCTCTCTCACATTCTACCACTCTACCTCTTTCTTTCCGCTGTGCATCCTGTGTTCCTGTCTTTCAGCATCTGTTTTCTATTCCTTTCCTATGCCTTTCTTCCTCTTCCCTTGTCAAGGATCTTTTAGTGACTTGACAAGGAAATAGGAACAGGATGCTTCAAGCTAGTGATGTGTGCTTTACTATGCAGTATTTTTTTTTCTTTTAAAAAAAGGGGGGGGGGAAGAGGAGGGGAAGATGCAAAAAAAAAAAAATCCTTGCAAATACCTTTCTGGATCTAGTTTCCATGGAATATTTTGGAATGTGGCATTTTAGAAATCAGTCCATACAATTTTACCCTTTGCAGGATATCATCAGTGAAAACAGACCTCTTTTTCCCCTGCCTCTCTCCCCACCTCAGTTATTTCTTCCTGCAAAGTATTTATTTGCTATTGATAGAATCATCTTAAATCCTTTACTTGAAAAATCAATGAAAACCTTGTCTTTGCAAGTTTTGCTATTTAGTTATCCATGATTGTGTATATATGTTGTTATTGCTAGGAGTCCATCAGTGTACTGTTAACAAAAAGGAATTTTTACCCATTTCTTTTGTTTCTTGTTTTTATATTTGATGTTAATTTTGTTCTCCTGTGCTCCTCCCCTCCCTCCCCCTGCCCCTACCTTTCTAATGGTTTATGAAACAAATGCTTATGTGACTTAAAAGACTATAAGGCCACAGAAGTCAGCAAGGGAAAAAGGGTTTTGGACAGGTGTAAGCACTGAGCTGTTTTATATCTTTTTAAAAAACCAATCTGGTATTTTCTGTCCCATTACTTTCCAAGGAGAACTTAGCATGATAAGGTAGTGTTTTTTTTATTTATTTATTTTCTCTTTTTAATCTATTTATGTATTTTTCCTCTCTCCTCATTGAAATGTTTCCTTATGAGCATTGATAGTTCTCTTTTCAGAATATCTTGGGCACCTGCATGAACCTGGAAAGCATGCGAGTGATTTTTGCATGGAACAACTTTAGGTTGCAAGTTTGTGTGGTTGGTACTTTGTCCTCTGCTTTTTTGCATCCTTGATATAATGAATTTACAGCTCTCATATTACTAATACTTTTAATGCTTAGCTTTCATTACAAGTTAATTTCAAATCCCTTGTTTCAATAGCTACTTTTTCCCCCCCATCCTACATGTGTTCTCTTATTCTTTTTGCTTGTTTGTTTTTTCCCCCCCTCTTTTCCATTCTCCCTGAACCTCGTGTTCACTGGCTTTCTGAATTTTCTTGCTTTTGTTGCAGACTGATTCTTTTAATCATACTTTTCTCCATCGCCTCTTTTTTTTTTTTTTTTTTTTTTAGTCTCTAAATATGCAATTAGCATTCAATTAGCATCCACTACTACCTTCCTCCCCTGATTCAGACTTTTTTGCCCCACTACTCAGAGTTGTGGTTTCCTTGCCTCCTCCCCCTTTCCTCCCTTTTCACTGGAGACCCCTTTCCTTGGCAAATGTTAGATTTCGTCACACAGAATAACTGAAACCCAGGCCTGCAGAGTTCTGGCCTAAGCAATCAAGAACCCCTGGCGAACGTAAATTATGTATCCTGTTACATAACTTGATATGGAAGCCCCTGCCCAGCCAGAAGGGGTGGGTCATAGTAGGTCATAGTGTGATGGGTAATTTGCTATTGTCTTAAAGCAATTCGAAAGTGGAGAATGCATAATATTAAACCTTATTTTGTCTTAGATTATTAGAATTATTTCTGTATTTTAATGTAAATATTGGTAGTAAATAGTATAGTCTGCTGTTCGGAGTTTTAGGGATGTAGCAGCTCAGAGCACTGGTCGGAATCTTGCATTTGGTGATGACACAAGGTAGGTACTTCAAAAGAAAATGCAAGCAATACTGTCGTGACCAACTTTTCAATATCTCTTTTGCATCTGGAGAAAAGTGCATTTCCTCAAAACTCTACAAAAATTGCTGTTTGGCTTGGATTTCACAGTGTCCCACTCATTTACTTTGGCCTAGTGTTGTTCTCTTTGAAGTCTGTTTAGCTAAGTTGATGAGCATAATGTTTTTTTCTCAAGTTGTCTGATTATTTGCGCAACAGATTGTTTTTCAAAATAGAGCTTTCTACAGCTGCACAGATGTATTTTCTTTATATTTTTGTGAGGCAAATGGAACTCTGCTAGGAGTGCAGCATGTATTTGGAGCTCAGCATCAAGGAGCTTCTCTGTGCATAAAACTATCCAGATATACTCTTGTGTAACTATAGTTATAACTAGATTATCCTTATGATTTAAATTTTATGATAATTTAGCTTTTAATTTCTCTGGCTTTGTAACTTCTGTTGCACAGTGTGCAATGAACTTGAGTACCATATAGAAAATCAGAGTTTTTTGAAGATGGGAGTGTATTTTTCAAAATCGTATGATAGTTTGTCCTGGGAGAGGCTTGATATCACCACAAGGAACATCAGAATCATAGATAATTGGAATTATTTGAAATCCTACTGTGTTCTGCTAGACCGTATTATTTTCAGAGTGCTGTCTATTAGTGCTGCACTATGTTACAAAGACAAGTTGTAGTCTTTAGTGGTAGCTTTGAAATCAATATTATCACTATCACAGTGATATTTTGCTCAGGCTATAGTATTTTGGTAAAACAGAAGTGACTGACAAGTATGTTTTGTTGTATTAAGCCTGAGTTTTTGGTGTAGATCAGAATTATGGCTTCCAAAAGAATTAAAGGATGGACTTCATGTTCTGTCACCACCATGTTATCCTGTGGTATGCTGAGCTTCCATTTTGGAAAAGCCTTTTGTTCTGCATTCCTCTTCATGTGTGTGCATGTGCAACACTTCCAGCAGATTACAGGGATTTTTCAGCTGTGTTTTTTCCAGCGCCTAAATATGATCACAGAAATTTCATAGATGGTGAAAAGGGTATTGAAAAAGAAGCTGCTTGCAAGACTGTCTTCAATTGGAAAATTGACAAAATAATTAAGGAGGGTTGGCGTAGGGAAACTTAAATTGGATCTAAAGCTTAAGATCAATGAATGCTTTTGTAGCTGTGTGTAGAGGGTTCTGATCTTGTGCTAACTCCTATTGTATTCTGTGGTAACCAAACTGGACTCGGAATGTCTTTATTTAGCATCTGTGGCCAGCCTTTCTATTTTTATTTTATACCATTAAGGAATTTTGGAAAGGAAAACAAGCCTAAGAGGACAAATTCATCCCCGTATTATTCTGTAAAACTAATGGAATTATACCAGTAATAACTTTGACCCTGCATGATTTCATCTTTTTTTTCTTTTTATATCAAGCCTTCCTTTTGTGTGAGTGACTATTTTAAAATATTAATTCCAATAATTTTAATTATAAGGAAAATGAAGAGAATATAGCTTATGTAGCATAATATGCTGCGTATTTTTAGGTAACCCACTTCTGTAAATGCAGTCATTTTAATGGACTATCTAGAGTTCAAATAGTGTGTGGGTTTTTTTTTTTTTTCCCTCCATGGAAAGGTAACATAGAGGAAACAATCTGACTCTTTACCCAGCCTCCTTCATCTTGGAGTGAAGTCCAGTCAGAACTGGAAGGTTTTGGTAAACCTGAATGAAGCTGCAACTCTTTGTTGTACCTCAGATTGTGCATGCAAGGATATGTGCAGTAACGTTTTGTTTGTGGGCTTTAATTTTCCTTGGAACTTGAAAGCAGTTACAGTAATAAACAGTGCGGACTTCCTAACATACAGATTTGTTAATGAT